TAGATCGGAAAGTTACGAAGGTAAAGAGTGGGAGCACGCGCGTTTAAACACCAACAACTTTACGACACCCTCGCTAATACCCGTGTATTGGGCTCTCCGCGATCTCTACCGCGTTGCCGTGAATAGGTGATTGTATACGAAGCTTTACACAACCCGATAATCCGTGAGGTTCAGCCATGCCAGATCCTAGATTTACATTTGATTTGCACGACTAAGTAATCATGCTTTTCTTTCTTTCTCTCTCTCTCTTTCTCTCGTTTTATTCCCACTTATTATAATGATAATAAATCAGCATTTATTACTGGTGGTGCTTATTTTAATGACATTAACTAGATATATAACGGAATTATAGCAAGAATAAAAACATTTTTTACTACTGTGTTATCCGTTTAAGTGTTACAACACTATAGTGTTGTAAAAAAAATATATACAACATTTTTTTAAATGTAAAATTAATTTCAATTAATTAATTATTTCCTACATACAATAAATTGTATTTCTTTCATAAAATAAGATCATCCACTGCAAATCCAAGTGTGTTATTCTTGTAGACACTTATAACACGCAAAGCTTCTTCAATGTTCAATGCCATTAACAAATTATAGATTTTAACACACTATGAAATGTATAAAAAGTGTTTACAAATCATGTATAGTTTGTTTATGGACATTTTATATTGAATACACTTTATGTGTTTTATTTTGACACGTTTATGAAATATTGGGATTTGCAGAGATCTCTATTTTAAATATCAATCGCATTGATTTTGTTTTTAAAAATAAATTGCAATAAATTTTAAAAATTTTTCTGTCTCGAATAATAAAAAGAATTGAATCACAATTGCATCACACCTGCAAATTTTATTAATCTTTGTCTATTATAGGAATTACCATAAATAAATTGAAATTCGACTATCTAAAAAGGTGTTGTTGAATATTTAAATTTCAATTAACCGTTAATCACTTAAGAGAGTGTTAATCTACTTTTTTTTTTATTTTAAATATAACATAAAAAATGAAAACTTTCTCTTCTATATTCTGAAGTTTAAAAAAAAATTCTCAAAACTTTCAGGTTTATGTTAAGATTACCACAACAGTAGACATCTTATTTCAAAAATACATTCTCAGTGGAATAGTAGTTTATTGTCATGCTAAAAATAGTATAGGCTATTGTTTCGAAAGAAAGCTCTACTATTTTCTAAAAACAAAGAAAAAATTATCTCTTTTTTTTTTATCAGCTTTTAGCAAACACCATTAAAATGTCGAAGGTTTTTTTTTCTCAAACATTGAATTTTTTGTTAAAACAAAATTATAATAGCATAGAAAATGAACTCAAATGTCATGAAAATAAAAGTAAATTGTCTCTATCACATCTTGGACGATAAAAATTAAAATAAATGTTTAGATTGGTGAGAGAAAAAAATTTTTTATAAACAAAAATGTAGCATTATAGAATATTATCTTAAAAGTGGGTAAAATTATCATAATTTTTATCGCATTTCAATCATTTACAGTTGAAATATTTCCTTTGAATAAATATCTTTCATCTCTATATTTACATAATGAATAATCACTTAAATGATTTTTTTTTCGAACTCATATAAAATCCATATGCATATGCGGCGATAACATAAGTTTACGCGTTGGTACTCACAGTTTGCTATCATCAAAAATAGGTCAACGACAGCCCATATAATACATATATAATTTCTGTATGAAGCCATACATACAAGTGTGTATGTAATACTTCAAATGTTGAATCCATGAACGTATCGCATCGTTGTACAGCAATTTGTTCAACTTTCTTCATGGACCGTTTAACTTGTCTTTGATCGAAATTTTATCTCTAACATTTACCATCCACAAGCATACACATACGTTTTATATTGCACAAATATACATAGATGTTGTTATTGTTATTATTAGCTCATGGAATTCATCAAGATCATCCGAGCACAGCAGATATGTTTATCTTGAATAATTGATCCATAACGTTGTACAGTTATTAAATGGAAGTAAGGCTTTATTACAAGCTTACACCTGTTGATCGGTTTCATCTTTTTTGTTATTTCGACGTTTTTTCCACCTTTTTTTTTTCGTATTCGCTATTTATATTTATTTTTGAGAATTACGTCACTTTTGGTTTTACGCACCACAATTTCCAATACAAAGTGCCGCTTTGAGAACACGTCAAAAGCATTGACGCGTAGAAAGTACGTAGAGTTTATGTTTGATAGATAATACAGTACTATTCAAAAGTTACCGAAATGTGTAAATTTATCAAATAATTGTTTTAAACATTGAAATTTCGATAAAATTTTTGCATTTTCAAGGTATTTATTAAATTATTTTTAATTCATTATACAATAATATTCATTGATTTTTTTTATAGATAAAAAAGTGCATAAACAATTGTCAGTAATAAATATTAAAATACTATTACAAACTTGAAGAGTTACTTTTTTGTATTATAATTTAAAGATAATAAAAAAAAATGAAATTTATAGCTTTAAAAGTCTTGATAAGTAACGCACATTTTCAACAAACTTTTGAAAGGCACTGTATGTATATTGAGTTGATGTTTATGTGTACATTCATGTGGATAGATGTTTATGTGTATTCGCAATGTTGATATTTGAAACATTAAGTGAGAAATCAAATCAAATTTGTATGGGTAAAAATCAAAGTTATTGATGATACTGATGACAGTCAAATAAATAACATACGTCCAATAAATTGTTTACACATATTTTCCGAAATAGAGATACTATTATGATTGATTCTTAATAATGTTATTGGTGACATAACATAATATGCCAGATTTTTGTCATCACTAAGCAAACTTTACTCAATGGTAGATATATAAGAAAATTACCATATGCTTAATAGAATTCTCTATGAAATCGATCAATGTAGACGACAGTCGTGTGTCTACAATGTCATTTATTCATTCACTGTCTCTTCCAGGGAAATACTAAAAGAAAAAAGAGGATATATATATATATATATATAAAGCCATTATTATAAAAACTAAGCTGAGTGACATTAGAGTTGACAACATGGATCAACAGTGGCTTTAAAAATGTAAATGGGCAAAAACGTGTCAACGTTGACAAGTATATTGATAATGAGTTGCAGCATTTCCTGTTTTAATATACACATAAAACATCAAGTGTTACTTTTTTTTGTTTTCTTTTTTTTTATTTAATTTTTAATGATGACACTTAAGAACTTAAGAGCCCCCAAACTAAGAAGTAAATTTAGTCATTTAACTCAAAAATAGCTTCTGCACTAGTCTAGTTTAAGTTGTCTTGAAATTAAATAAAATTCAAGTTTCATAAGTTGTTTCAGACATTCCAAAAAAACTGAATTATTACACTAACACAATCGTAAAATTAATGACGTTCAAGATGACAATGAAAATGAGTTATTGTAAAATTTAATGGACGAAGCAAAAATCATTATTCATTTTTTTTTTTTTTTAAATAGCTACTCTTTGATTTATTTCAATTTCGACAACAATTAATATTTCAAACTTAAACTATTAATCACAAAAACTTAAATTTAAACTCATTCTATTTTTTTTTGTTTTAATTCTCAAGAAATATAGTTTATTTGAATGTATCAAGTGTATAGGAAAAATATTTAGAGTATCTATAACGGAAAAAAAAAAATGAAGATAACAACATAATAACATTTGGTTTGTAAAACTAGTCATTAAATACATTCTTTACCAATTTTTTTTTAATTGAAAAAACTTCAAGTTTTTTTCCAATTAAAGACATGTGAAAATTGCATTGATATGGCTGGCGATTGATTTTTTTTTCATACGTAAATGGATAGTAGAGTAGTAATAAAAAAGAAAAGAAAAATTAAAAATAGTAGAGTCTGATGTGTATGTATGTCAGAATGTTTATGTCAAGAGTTATCTACAGAGATTGTTATGTCAAGTGTATTAGTTTCGCCATCAGTTATGGGATTTGGTGGTTAAACAACTCAATGTAAAGCTGCTATAAATTACTTAGAACTGTATTATGAAGACGCTCCCCTAGTTAACTAACTCCAAATACGTTACATACGTGTACCATATTAAATATTCAAAATATGGGAAACATGTATGTTTCTTTTTCCAGTTAAAACCATAACATGGAACTATTTTTTTTTTCTAAAAAAGCTTTGAGATTAATTATTTTTTAATTACAAAATTTTTGTAAAATCATTAAAAATTATTTATAAATATGTAAAGGTTCTATATCCGTTGTTAATAAAATTCTTTTTTATTTTTTATAATTTGTAAATTATAAAAAAGAAAATTGATTTGTCAACAAATATTGTTTTCTTTTATAAACGAATTAATTTTCTTGCTTTCTGAAATTGATTTTAAATTCAATATAACTGATTCTCCGAAATGAATGTTAAAATCTCTCATCACTTTTTTTGACTTTTCATCACTTGAAAAAAAATTCCCCAGTATCTATTTAACCTAAAGCCCTTATTAATTATATTTTATTACTCATCTTCATTTATTTTCAGTTAGAACCTACACTGTGATTATTTTCAAATGAAAAACAAAATTAAATAATCTCTCTAACTAAGTAAATAAGTATCTTAATGAATGATAATTTAATCTTAGTTATCTCAAGTCTACACTAAACCAAATGAAGGTGAAATTTGTTTTTTTATTATTATTTTTTTTTTTTTCATTTTTCATGGTCTGGTAGTTTGGCAAGAAAGCATCGGAGCGCACTCAACTTTAGGTGACAGATGGCCGACAAAGTAGGAATTTCAACGTGGAATGTCAGCTGTTGCTAGTGTTCTCAAGTCGGAGTAAGAGAAAAAAGAGAACGAGAAGACTGACCAGCTGCTTTTGGCTTGCGTCTGCCCTTCATCGCGCCCCCGATTAAATTCAGAAGCGATAGTGTGCACTTAACAACTTTTTAAATTGGTTATTTTTAAGGTTCTTTTCGGATAACGATATAATGACTAAAATTAATAACTTACCCTCATCATGCTCGTGTTCTGTCTACTGCTATTATTATCCTCCATTTTAATGTGAATGAAATGAATCTGCAAAAAAGAAACGATTTATGATTATTATCAATTCATCAATTATTAAATTAACTTTATAAATTAAAACATTTAATTGTATAAAAGTCCATATAATATACACTTTTAGCGCAAAAGCTAATGAAAAAAATAATTAATGAATTTTATTCAAAAAGAAACGAAAAAATTGATTCTTTTTTTGGAGATTTTATTGAAATAGAATTTTTTTCTTTTACAATTTTTATTTGACACGATGGTAAACTGATAACTAATACAGTCCTATCATAAAAAAATTTACGATACATTGGTTCAGAGATTGAACAAGAGAAAACTGATAGATAAGTTGAACATGAAATAAAAAGAGAAAAATAGTTTTCATGATTTTATCGATTTCTGCACGATTATATTAGTCGTTTAGAAATGTTTTTAATTGAACTATATAAAAAGATGGAAAAATATTGAGTTTTAGTTTTTCAAAAAAATGTGTTCTAGTATAAAACAAGTTATTTTGCTTTTTAATTTTATTATGTTTACTTTTTAACTATTCATAAAAAAAGTAATCTAGTGATTTTATGCATTCTCACTTCGATTATGTGCAAAGTTCAAATAGAGTTGTATCAAAGCAAAAACAGTTAACCAATGCAAGAAGATAGATTTTTAGTTTGAAAAAAGTGAATTTTCAATCACCTTTTGCAAATTATATAAAAAGTTTGATCAAATAAATAATATACATTATTTATCTTACTTGTTTTTGTTTTATCATTTAAAATGGCATAAATTTTTCTTAATATTTTTTATTTAACCCATATATTGTACCGAACAAAAGAACCTAATCCTCAACCTCTTAATTTTTTTTTTTATACCATCATGTTATTTTAAATGGAATCATTAACAAGAGGCTGTTGTTTAAAGGTGCACAAGTGGCCGATTCAGTTAGCATAATTGAAATAGTTTTTAGTAGGACAAATTTGGTGGGAAAACATTCAAGTACTCTTGTTAGCTCTCCCATCAACATCGTAACCTCCTCCAACTATCGATGCCGCAGACACTCTTGTAAATACGGACATAAAGCATATCGTATACACCTATATATAGATATATACATACATATGTATATGTATATATACAGAAGTCGCTTTTGCGCAGTACTTGCTCGTGGTCACAGTACGAGCTATAACCTACCCCTATCTGCCGCAACGAACAAGCAAACTCGTGAGGCAACACCACTGTTCGTGGGTCAACACTAGCTACGTGAAACACGACAATTAGTTTCTCAAAAGGATGCGGGCACAAACCAGACATATTGGGGATAACGAGGTATTCAAGAGGCATCTTACAAATCCAATAGACTTTTATACAAGTTTCAGTAGTAATTTAAACTTGAGAAAAAATTTATTTTCAAGAATTCAGTTAAGGGTTCGCACCACCAATGCACCCAAGTCTAGTCTACTTTTAATCAGGATCAATTCGTAACCATCTATTTTTAAGCCATCATTATAAGCTTATCAAAGGATGTGCTTCAGTTGCATTTTATCAACTACTTTTTTTTTAATTTAATTTCTCATATTAATAAGATAACAGATTAATCTATTTAATAAAATCAACTATATGTGATAAAAATTGAAAATAATTTTCTTAACTAATTGCCATTGAATTTAATGTAATTTTGTTTAATAAGTATTTCATAGCTGAATGAAAAATTCACGTAAATACCTGCATAATGAAGCTAAACTCAACGTTGAAAAAGATGTACGATAAGACGGTACGAGGAGTATTCTTGAACTAATAAATAATGGGGACTTTGGTTGCATGCAATTAGAGACGCGAGCTTGGAAATAATTGGTCTTCTACGTTATCGCAACAGATGATTTATTGACCTATATATAAACACTTACTCATGTGCCTGTATATATATATATATATATATAAACCTAAATACAAGCAATGGATAATTATTACTTCCTTCCATCCTGCAGTGACATTTTGTATGCACGATTTTGGTTGTTCCTCACAACTAAATATCTAGTGCCAATGTTGGCAAAGAGAGAAAGAGAGAGAGAGAGAGAAAAAACAGTTCTATTAAAATTCAACGACATTACCACTTCTCATATTTTTCTCTGACACTATTCCTCATATATATGTATATATTTGCTATTATCGTGGTTTTCCCCTTTTCATTTATTTGATATTTATTCAGTGCACGTATTTTAGTAGTCGATATATTTTTAAGTATCAGCGATCTTTTTTTGACAATTAAAATATTTCAAAGAGATTTATTTGAGTCACCGCCCTTGTAATAAAAGTATACTCCATGAAACTGAGCTTTAACATTACTGCCACGCGACCTATCCAAAACGAATTTAATGGATATGGGCGTCAATTTTCGGCCTACTGGTGTCTTTCATCGAGAAACGACATAGTTGTGTAGTGCACACCCTACATCAAAAGTCACTGAACTGTTATCGGGGAAATCTATCTTTCTAAATAGACATTATAGGAGCGTAAAAAGAATTATAGTTTTCGGATTTTCATGGGTGTTGAATATCATGAATAATAGCTTCTTAAATTAATTTTAATGATATTCATTTTCATCATTAATTCTGGATTTCTAACACTTGATTAAGTAGTTCCTGTTTTTTTATTTAATTGATAAAAATCTATTTAAATTTAATTATCAGACATAAATATTCATTAATATTATGAACAATGTAGTACACGAAGAATTATGAAGAATTATTTTTCCATAAAATTCTCTCATTGGACAGATAATACTGAGAAAGTAATATACCTTGCAAGCACACCAGTTATTTCATTTTTTATCATGACTCTCAAAAGTGCACAGTGAATGATATAAATTTAAAGTCAGTACCAAAACGGAAATATTATAACCCACAAAATTCGGCTCGACGTCAACGATGCGAAAAAAGGAGCAAGTCAAGAATGAACGGTGGTGGTGAAGGAGAGAGGGGCAAAGAGATGGTTAAATCTCAGGAAGAAGAGTGAGATTTAAGATCCCTCGGAGCGTGGAAGAGATACCCTTGTCGTCTTGCAGTCTCGTAGAAGGTAGAAAGACGATTCTGAAATGGGAGCAAAGAGTACCGGGGCAAAGGAGAAGGAGGAGTAGAGGGGATGGCATACAGAATGTAAAGGAGAAAGGGGTAGTACAGAAGGAGGTGAACGTTATCGGCTTTGACGAAAGCCAGGAAGGCATTACAAGGCTCGTCCGGTTTTCTCTGTTCCTCTCTTCACCACCCTGCTATGGTGCACGCTCTCTTAATGCCTTCTCGGCTTTATCCTAACTCTATCCCAAGCGTAAATACAGTCTAAACTATTCTATGGAATCCCCTGCTCAGTTTCGTAGTCTTTGTGCACCCTTCTTGTGTGTAGACAAGGACTGACGCCCGCGAGACCATTCCCGCTGCATCATTGATCAGACGGAATTAGAAATTAGCCAAGAGTACCGCCAAACAATCGACTGATCCCTTGAGTTAACTGACTACGAGGCCCTCATAAATATGTATTAGCCAGAAGGGAAAATATTCATCATCATATTTTCCTTGGGAGTACTGATATAAATTATCAAGACTAATCGATTGTTACAAAGATTATTATAACAAGCTTAAGACGAATTATGCATACAAAAGAGTAATTGAATTTTTGTTTTAAAGTTAATTCATGTATATAGGTAGCATATTGTATACTTATTTTAAAGATAAACATGCATTATATAATTTAATTATCAAGTTTATTCAACTAAGAGTATAATAATCTTAATGATTTTAATAATAGCTTTCTTTCATTAATTTAAAAAATTTTAAATTAAAGTAAAAAAGTAGATTAATTATTTAAAAAATAACCATTATAATAATTGTAACCAATGTAGCATATTGATTAAAAATTTTATAGTTAATCTAAATGTATTATTTTATTATTGTAATAAAGATAAAGTGTCTGACTATAATTATTTTATTCTACTTGCAACAAAAAAATTATCTTTATTATGTTTTGATGTTACTTATCACTCGAAAATCATCTGATTAAGATTCATTACTGTATAAGGGAAAAAATGGTATTTCACTTAAACTTTGAAATTATTTTGACAAGATAATTAAAAATAAATCGATATAATTTTCAAATTAAAATGTGTCATTCCAAGAAAGGAATATTTATCATTTCATTTTCCCTGTTACTACAAATCAACGATTAAATAAATCAATTGATACATGAATTGTTGTTATTATAACCCCAGTTGTACATGTTCTGAATATGTATTTTTTGTTCACCAGGTCAGTTATATAGGTAATGAATTGTAAAATCTCAAGTGCTAATTAATATGGATTTCACGCAAGTTACGCCTATATCAATACATGTTTAATGTTACACACAGTTTCATATTTTCGATTCAATACACACTATGATTAATTTATTACGTTGCTATGTAAAGTATATTATTATGTCAAACGATCATTATATTGCTGATATTAGTGAAGCAATATTCAAAGTATGTTGTTACAATCTATTCTTTATGTATGACAATAACGCGCTTTTACCCGTGAATATCAGCATTAAACCTCCAATCGTGTCATCAACAACATAAGCTCTGTGCCACCGAGTATACTGATGATGCTACTGTGTACCTTTGTATTGGCAACTAACTGTCACTAACTTGTATATTGTGTTTATTGAATGCAAGAAATCATCTTTCATCTAAACAATGACAGTTATCGTGGTTATTACAATGACACTAATAACAAAGATGATGATAATTCATACAATAAATGATGAAATGGACACTCCAAATTTAAACATATTTCTTAATCAAAAAATAACAAAAAACTTTGCTACAAAATCATTTTTGATATTGTTCGTACAGATAAAATGTTTTTAATTGATTATGATGTTTAGGTAATTATTTTATTAATCAAATTTAATATATATAAAAGAATGTTAAATTGAAAATTTATCTCCATTTAAAATAATATGAAGCCTCGATAATCGATGACATTTATTTCAATAATGTA